CTCTGAGCTTCAGCAACTTGCTGCAACCCAAAAGCTGCTTTTAAAAGGGAAGGTGCAAAGGAGACTGAGCATCGCCAGGACTGCCTGGCAACCCTTGGGAAAGCTGGCTGCACAAGAAGGAGGGGGAGGGAAGAGGCAGTGGCTTGGTCCCTGAAAGACCCCAGAAACCGGTGGGTATGAATAAAGGTTTGGATATTTCAAGGGGGGGAAGGAGGGAGGCTGGGGAGCTGCTATCTGTCTGAGAGCAGATAATTCTCTGAGCAGCCGATCGCTGCCAGTTTACCCAGGGATTGCACATTAACCCGAACAGGGAGCTCGAATTAACCAGAATCTGGAGCTCAGTCCAACGGTGGTGGAGCGAGGGCTGAGATGCCAAAGGGCGCCTCACTGGCTCCATGTGTGGGCGCAAGGGACAGGCCTGCCCCAGCATCGAGGCCAGGTCCGCACTTGCTTGGCTCAGCGAGCGTGCTTGGGCTTGGTGTGCCTGTGGTCCCCACCTCCGTCTCCCACCACTGACTTCAAGCGGAAATCAGTGACTGGGACACTGCAACCTGTTGTGTGTGGAGGCATCCGGCCTCCTTCCCTTCCCTCTGGCTGAGGGTCAGATCCTGCCGCCCTGAGGGTGCAGAGCCCAGAGACGATTCCTGCAGGGGATGGACCCCAGCAGGTTCTCACTTGTGTCATGCCACTTGCTCCATTAGTTGGGACTCAGTTTACAATCTGAAAGGAGATTGGGGTGGGGGAATTGCAACCAGCACTGGTTTTAGGTTGGTTAGTAGGTTAGAGCCGTAGCCTGGCTCTCGAGACAAAACCCACTAGGAGGGCTATAACATGATTCAGGGAGGCCTGAGCTTTTCCAGTCAACTCCCAAGTGAATCCTCTCCCACTACTGGGGAAGAGGAACGAGTCCAGTCTGGAAGCTGCCTTTAAACCAGCTTGGCTGATGGTTGTTCTGCCCTGTCCCAGCCACAACCTGCAGCACTGGGACCCTTTGAGGGACTTAACACTGTGCACAGAAAAGCCACCCAAAGGAAACCCTGGGGTCTGACTGGCCAGGACAAAGAACTTCCCCAAGCTGGAAGAAGTCCTTTGGCTTGGTTTTTTGCCCCCTGTTAAGTTCCTAAGAAACTGGCCTAGGCCTGTGGCTAAAAGGAAAACCACGGTGTGGAGGGAAGGGGGGAAAAGTAAGGAAAAGAACCAGATATCTGCACCATGGCAAGACACTCTCCCTATGCTTAAATGACTATGTGACAAGAAAAACCTGATGCCGTGTCATCTCGTAGTGCACACAGGCGTGCCTAGCTTGGATCAGATGATAAGAGGATGTGAAGTTTTTCCTTTCACTTCACTCCATCATAAAACAATCAAAATATAGGGCCCTACCTTGTCATCAAGTATTTTTTTTTTTAAGTTGACCTTCCCATTGAGATCGTCTCGAACACCGATGGCCTGATATGAGTCACAGGAACCGAGGTCCTTTCTCATTACAAAACTAAGAAGTTAGAACAAGCACCTGAAAGCTCACATTTTTCACCTACCTGCCAGATAACCCATCTCTAAATGGTGACAATTTTCCACTCCACATAAAACTAACCTCCAGTTTCTTTCTTCCTTTCTAGCAGTGGGCTCAACTAATATGCATCAACATCACCCCTTGGCAAATGTTTCAGGGGCTGCTTTTAGAGTTGGTTAACTTTAAACTACACACTAAGAAACCGAGTACAGAATCAAAAAAAAATGCAGTTTATTATTGTAGATTATTCTCTCTTTTGATATAACCATAGAGTTGAAAATGAAAGAAAAGCACATAGGAACATCACACGTGGTTAGTTAGTAACTCAAGATATAAAACAATTTTGCACAGCAAAATATGTAAAAGAAAAAAAGTAACTGACAAGATTTTTTTATATTTATTGTGGTAAGATTTACTTTCCATTTTTTTTTAAAAGACAGGATATCAGTCCCTGAAAATAAAATTTACTGATTATTGCCTTTAAAACTGTGGAATTTTTGAAGTTACAGAAAATCCAGTTCTGCACCACAATACAACTGTAAAAAAATCTGCATCATCTTAAAACTGTGCAGTAATGCCAACTTTCTAACTGCATAAATTGTATTAGCGTTCTAAACAGGTTTGTAATTTTGTTTGTATTATATGCTTGCAGGTTATATCTTAGTGCAATTCAGTCCCAAATACTTCAATTTTGAAAAAACACCCATACATTTTGAATGTAAAATACCCCTATAGATATAAACAGGGGTGCCTCCCCCTTGTAATACTTTGGTTTTCAAATACAGTCAGTGGTATAGCAAGGACTACATATACCCAACTTATATTTAAGTTGCAAGCACATGCTGCAAAAGCTACTTTTTTAAAACAGTCCCGTTGCAAATTCTACCCCCTTTACATCACGACAGTAAACAATTTAGTGCATCAATCTTTTTCTCTTTAAAAAAATCTACATCTAAACAGACCTAACTCTTTCGAATTTATCTATAACATTCCTTTATCTGTAGCATACATTGTAACTGGGCTAACAGATGATAAAAACTAGAATTAAATTATATACTAGGAACCCAGAGCATTCCACATTTGACAATGACCCAATGCAAAAGGGGGGAAAAAAAGAAAAGAAAGAAAACGGGGCAGAACACTTTAAAATAAATTTTAGACTGCTTTAGGCAACAGCATGGTTCTGATGTCCCCAGACTGGGAAGTGATTTTTAAAAACATCTTTGCAAAGTTCTTTTTTTTTTTTATTTATTTATTTTTTTTTGCCACATCAGGTTATCAAAATCCATTCTGGCAATTTTTTTTTAAGAGGGAATGCTTCAGTGCATTTAAAAGGAAGTCAGAAGTTTTGAGTAACTCAAAGCAGTTTTAGAGCAGATGCAAACTTTAATGGAGAGGAAGAGGAGGAAGATCAAAGGTTGCACTTTTTTGCTTTCAACTCAAAAAAGTGATGAGGCAATAAAACAAAAGGATGAATGCCATGCCATAATAGTCTCCAAAAGTCCATTTCCAAGCAAAAGAAAAAAAAATAATTATACCTTACATGACCAGCATGCAGGGTTTTCTTATTAATATAATGTCTCTTTTTTCATAGTCTTTCGAAACAGTTATAGTTCATTGTTGCTAAGACAAAATAGCAAGCATAATGCATGAGATGAGGATGAGATTCTAATGGCAGACTAAAGTCTCACGTTTGGCAGATTAAGGCCAAAACTCACATGAACACACCGAAGGTTGATGCAGGCTTGATTTTGGCAGGTTGATCTAGGCATACCTCTAGTTTTGCACAACAACGCTAAAAACTGATGGAACTCAGCAAGCTGGAGTCTAAAAATTTCACATTGTTTTTTGTCTTGTTTTTTCTTTTCTTTTATAATTTTTTTGTTTTTTTTTTCTTGGTCTTTTTTTTTTTTAGGGCTGGTTTTTTTTTTTTTTTTTTTTTTTTGCAAAGCTCAAATCTCACCTGAAGAACTCAGGATGGCAAAAAAAAAAAAAAAAGAAAAGAAAAGAAAAGATAACACTTTTGTTTCGAACACAGCAAGCTCCAAAGAAAAAAAAAACAACCCAACTAACTCATGAACTTAAAAAAAAAAAAAAAAAGAATGTGGATGGCAGGTTTCAAAGAAGAGCAAGCTTCATATGAAGAACTGAGATGGATCTTTCCATTAAAAGATAAAAAAAACCAAAACAACAACACACACATAGGAAGCCCCCACAAAAAATATGTATAAAATAATAATACTAGAAAAGAAACTCATGTAGAACTTGCAGGTTGGCCAACCAGGAGCCAGCCCACCTTAAAAAAAAAAAATAATAACTTTGCTCTTTTTTCTTTTTTTTTTTCTTTTGCTGTCAAATTTTTTTTTTTTTTTGAGTTAAAAAAAAACACAAGGTGGCCCAGCTGGTTCATCTAGGAGCCCCCAGGTACAACTCACAGGGAGAACTTTTTTTTTTTTTAATTTTTTTTTTCTAGTTAAGGTGGCAAGGCTGTTGGGACTCACATGAAAAACTCTGGAGAGGAAGGGTTGTCGCTGCTGGATCCGTTTTCTCTGAAGCCATTGCTGACCAGCTTCTCGTATTTTTCCTTGTAGGCGTCCCTCTCCCGGACCAGCCTGGAGATCTCTTGCTTGAGGTGCTCGACTTGCTGCAGCAGCTGGTTCTTCTCGGACTCCAGGACGTGCCTCTGCTGGACCCTCTTGAAGCGACAGGACTGGGCATAGCCCCTGTTTTTGAGGGTCCTCCTCTTCTGTTTCAGCCGGATGACCTCTTCCTTGCTCACCCCCCGGAGCTGCCTGTTCAGCTCCCGCACGGACATGGTCACCAGCTGCTCATCCGAGAAGCGGTCGTCGAAATGCAGGCTGCTGCTGTGGTGCTGGGGGTGCAGACCCCCGCTGCCACCGCCGCCGCCTCCCCCGGGGCTGGGGGTGCGGGGGGCGCCGCGGCC